CCACTACTGGGCATATACCCTGAGAAAACCATAATTCAAAAAGACACATGCAGGGCTTCCCTGGTGGCGCAGCGGTTGAGAGTCCGCCTGCCAATGCAGGGGACACTGGTTCATGCCCCGGTCCGGGAAGAGCCCACGTGCCGCGGAGTGGCTGGGCCCATGAGCCATGGCCACTGAGCCTGCGTGGCCGGAGCCTGTGCTCTGCAACAGGAGAGGCCACAGCAGTGAGAGGCCCACGTACCGCAAAAAAACAAACAAAAAGAAAAAAAAAGACACATGCACCTCAGTGTTCATTGCAGCACTATTTACAATAGCCAGGTCATGGAAGCAACCTAAATGACATCAACAGACAAATGGATAAAGAAGATGTGGTAAACGTATACAATGGAATATTTCTCTGCCATAAAAATGGAACAAAACTGGGTCATTTGCAGAGAGGTTGATGGACCTAGAGACTGTCATACAGAGTGAAGTAAGTCAGAAAGAGAAAAACAAATATTGTATATTAACGCATATATGTGGAATCTAGAAAAATGGCAAAGATGAACCGGTTTGCAAAGCAGAAATAGAGACACAGATGCAGAGAACAAACGTACGGCACCAAGGGGGTAAAGTGGGTGGTGGGGAGGCATGATGGTGGTGGATGAATTGGGAGATTGGGATTGACATGTATATACTAATATGTATAAAACAGATAACCAATAAGAACCTGCTGTATAAAAAATAAATAAATAAAATTCAAAAGAAAAAGGAAAAAAAATTTTAAGTGAACAACAAAATAAATAAATAAAAATAAAGTAAAATAAGATGCGGTTTCCTTTTTTAATTAGACTTGCCAAGATAAGCATGAGTGGATCAAATAAAGAAGATATATACTGAATCAAGTATGGGAAAAATATACAGCCTTCTGGTTTCTAAGTATCTTATCTTGAGAACAAGTGACCTATTATTAAATTCAATACACAAAAAATCTTTGTTATTCCTCATTGGGCAGGGATGACGGTTAACCATATAAATTACGTTGACAATATTTTGTACTGGAAAAAAATATGGTTCTGTTAACTACCCATAATTTCTGTTCTCAATCGAATCCAACATAGAGGACATATATCTCACAGACAATAGTTTGCTATAGGGTCTACAACTACAACTCTAGTCCTTCAACAATGTTAGGAGGTATGACAAATTTCAACCCCACATGAATTAAAATGATGGTTCACATAGAAACCCCCACGAATGGAATAAGCTGGATCAAAGGATATCTACACTAAAACAGACAATATTTTACCAAAGTTTCTTAACCTTTATTTCTAAAATAAGGGAAATAGGGGCTTCCCTGGTAGCGCAGTGGTTGAGAGTCCGCCTGCCGATGCAGGGGACACGGGTTCGTGCCCCGGTCCGGGAAGATCCCACATGCCACGGAGCGGCTGGGCCCGTGAGCCATGGCCGCTGAGCCTGCGCGTCCAGAGCCTGTGCTCCGCAACGGGAGAGGCCACGGCAGTGAGAGGCCCGCGTATCACAAAAAAAATAATAATAAAATAAAATAAGGGAAATACAATTTTAGTATTTAATTGATCCACATATTCTAGGATGTTTTAACCAGAAACCCATCTACTTCCAAACTTAAATAAAAGACAATCCGTAATATACCAGAGTGCACACAGGCCCATTTGTGTGTGTGTGTGTGTTTGCATGATCACATGTATCTGTACCTAACAAGCAAGTTCTGTGTGGTTCTCCAAAGTTGTAACTGACTTGCCATGGGTACTGAAAGAAAACACTTGTAAGTAAAAGACTGAGCATTCCATTTTAAAGCTCTTTGTGGAAGTAGCATACCTGTGCCCTCTTCTGTACCTCCAGGAGGAGTTCGGAGTACTGCAGCTCCAGTTCCTTCTTTTGCTTGTGCCAGCAGCTCTCCTGGGCTTTGATCTGCTCTGCCACTTTGTTAAAGGTGTCTTCCTGGGTTTGCTGAAGCTCTCTCATCGTATCAGACTTGTTTTTACAGATATACTCTAGATGACTTATCTAAATGGGGAAATGCAACAAATAAGATAGGCTCACAAACAAGTCCTTTGTATCATCTCCCCCAAAAGCTATTCCAGAATTTTCTACTACATTTTATTCCTTAAGATCATGTAAAAGTTTTAAGTTAAAATGAAAAAAAAATTAAGAAACAGGAATTAGTAGAACAAAATTATATTTTAGCAGAAAATGTGTGAATTGCATGTATAGATGACATCTATTCTTTTTCTCTAATAAAGTTACTTATTCTATAATCAATTTTACTGAGAAAATTAAGAAGAATATTTTAACCTCTAGAAGCAAAGCTCAAACTGTTCAGATACCTCAATGGGAAAGAAGTATTTAAATGAGATTTACAAATCTACAAACATTTTACGTGTAACAAAGAAGAATGTTCCGACCATTTTTTATTTCACATTCAAAACACTGGAGAGAAAATCCTCACCATCTAATGTGTATGACAATTAATGATGTTTGAAACTACGAAAAACTATTGAAACACAATACCATCTCAGAGGATTAAAACATGTACTCATTTTCATTATCAGTACTTTTCAAATCCGTTATACACATAGTCACAATCAAGAACAGCATCTCCACTTCTCACAATTTATTCCCTCATTTCCTCAATCCTACTTCTCAGTGCCTATGATTGTTTGCCAATCGGACCAAGACAAAATGCTCTTACTCTAAAACTGGGCCGAGATGCTGATTACTTCAACAGAAGTAATGAAAAAAAAACTTAGGGAACAGCTTTTCTCTCTGTGTCCCTTAAGAGCAAATGTCACTGCAACTAAGATCTGGAAACTAGATCACATAAATATAGTTCTGACTAGTTCAATAGACCTGGGATAAGAATCAATACCTTAAATGGAGGAATACATTGGACTGCTAAGCCACTTTCATTTTCAATAACCAAAACGAGGTTTTTAAATTTTTTTTTGGAAAGACTGAATTCCTAGGTTTGTGAATGATAAAGGCACCATAATAGCCTACTGTTTTCTCCTACAACATATCCTTCTTACATTCTAAAGCACTGAATGGGTTTTGCAATATACAGTTTGTTATATTACAAGAAATAGCATAAGTTTTAAATTTTAAGTGCTTTTAAAGTAACACCTCATTATTTCCTGAGCAAAGAATTTTAAGATCATGTTTTGAATAACTGTATCTTGTTTCTATTTTATGCTAACATAAAGTGTTGGTTTATTAATGTAAATGACTAAGTTCTTTGAATTGCTTCATCAGTAAGATTAATTTATTTTCTTTTAATTAGGTCCCTGTGGCTAACACTGGCTAGCAGTATTAGCATGTCCTGAACAGAAAGTGGAGCTCAGAGACTTCATACAGACTTCAGTCACATTTACATGCCCATAGCAATGGCATCAAACTGAGTTGTAGACAAGCCATAATTAATGGTATTGAATTATTAACACCCAAATTCTTTTTGAAATAAGATGAATGTCAGCCCCTCTTAATGATACTGTGATGTGGACAAATGTCACTGAATTTAATAGAGGTATCTGGTGCCTGAGGACAGTTACCTTCTCATTAGCCCTGTTGAGGTCTACGATCAGGGCATCAACATTCTCCTGCAAAACTGCACAAAGCTCAGACCAAGAGAATTTATCCAGCATGCCTTCTGGTTGTTTTATGAGCACAGAGCCTGCTATCAAGTGCTGATACAACGTATGAAGGAAGGTTAGCTTCTCCTACAAGAAAAAAAGAAATTAAATCCAGTATGTAAACACCGTAAGAAGTAAAACACGTAAGATACATGGTGAAGAATTTATTTCAAAAATCCTGGAAAGAAATGAAGATACTCAAGTATCAGAACATTGCCATTTTGGTGACTTTTTTTACATTCAAAATTAAGCATCAGGCAGAAACTTGAAATTGCTTACATTTATTTTCAAAACCAAAATCTCAAGTCTGGAAGCCAGAAGACCCGGGTTCTGACACCAGCTCTGCTACTGCTAAGGACGTGATCTGAGTAAGTGTCTGTTCAGACCTCACCTTCCCCAGCTGTAACATGAGGTATCTGGACTAGTTGTTTCTAAGCCCTTCTAACTGGAACTTAGTATGGTAATTCTATAATTTCATATTTACGTTTACCAAAAAAGATGTTATTTAAGTCAAAAAATATAAAGAGAAGAGCGCTACCCAGCTCTGTTGAAGAGAAAGTTATACCAATATCTGTATTTTACATGGACACAAGTATTCAGCTTTCCTCCTCCTCCAGAGATTCCAGTTTACTTACCACTTACAGGAAATCTATCCCAAGCCCCCTAGGCAAAGCAGACAGTGATATGAAAGAGGTGGAAGATGGGCTCATTTTTCTTCCCCACTTAGAAGTTCATACCGTATTTGGCACACTGGGCATTTGTAGGTGTTTAAATATTACAAAGTTAACAGTCCAAAAAATGGACATAGCTGCCCAAGATATACTTCCAAAACTGTCCAATTAAAAATATGTTTAAAAAATCCTTTAAAATTATATTGCCATTGTCATAGTTAAACCATCCATTGTTTAATGGCCTAGAAACTCTATACTGCAAATTCAGTAAAAAGCTGATCCCATCTTGAACACACAAGGAGAGTTTACTTACTAAAATGCTAAATGGCTCTCTTTATAAGGCATTTCATCTATAAAGTCAAAGAATGGAACTCAAGACAAGGTAATTGTGAGGCTGCAAAATGAGTATTTTATGTAGATAAAATAAGTTCCCTCAAGATTTTTTAACAGATCAGCAGGAAAACTTTTAAAAGAAGAAAATTTAAGAGGAAAAAATAGGAATTCTAATCTTCCAGATAAGAAAAACTGAATGTAGTATACGTAAAGGTTTTATAGTTAGAAATTGTGGTGAAAGTTTTCCAATATATATAAAATTGTGCATCTTTAATTCTCCCTGTATGTCACCTTAGTTTTTTTCCAAATATAACAATTTAAAAACCAAAAAATTTGAATATGTAGTTATATCCACAAACTTGAGTTAGGATATCAGAAGAGTCTTCATAAATATGCTATGTCTTTTTCTTTTTTAAGCAATTAAAGATGTCTTTTGCATTTTCAACTAAGTTGAGATGTTTAAAAATCTTATTAAATATAACTAACCAAACAGAATATTCAGGCACTAAAAATCGTTCCTCGCCACATTTTGCCAAGTGATCGAGTTCTTCCGAAAGGGTAATTCATTGTGTTGCCATCATGTCCTTTTCGCTTGGGCTGTGATGAACCATGCATGATAATCATCCATTTGGCGTGAAAAGAGAATCTCAAGATCCAAAATCAATTCACACATGTTGAACCCAACCACAATGCTGTAGACATGCTGACTTTACAATACAGTCAGGCTTCTAGTTTCCTTTACTTTAATCATTATCTGATGTGTATAACAATTCCAGCCCCTTCATGTGGACACAATTTAAATCCCAGACTGTAAGAAGAGTGGAAAGAATGTTTCCTTTTTACTCTCTTGGCATTCATGTTCGTATTTGTTGGAGTAATGAACTCAATATGCAGGATGACTCAGATAAACTAGTTCCACACTAGCTAGACTAGCTCTACCTCCCATGGGTAAAAGAAAATATAAGATAACAATTCTACTCACACAGGCTCATACAGTTATATAAAAGTTTGTCATAATATTTTAAGAAGCCATTAATAAATTAACACAGATAGGTAACTCTCAAGGGCATCCAAATAAACATTTAACTTTGTGGGACTTGTATTTTTCTAAATTTTGTTTAATATCCTACAATTATAAAGAGTAAGGTGACTGTCTATTAAAGTAGATATTATTCCTGTTTTGCAAATAAGGAAACAAAGATGTGGAGAGACCAAGCTATGTGGCTTGTCCATATTCACAGTTTTTAAATAAAAGTACCTCTATCCATGTTAATTCTTTCTGATTACAAAAAAGATTCTTTCCACCATGGCAGGCTACTAAACTACTGAAATAAAAAATAATTTTGTCATTGGCAAACAGGACTGTTAGGAGCATAGCTACTTGGGATAGGATGTTCTAATAGCGAAAATTACTCATACAAATGATAAAAGGGTTAAACTACTTTATTTCTCTCTCAAAATAGGATCATACAAGAGTAATGGAATGACTGATTTTGCAGCTGGCATGAACATTTCAAAATAGCTCAGAAGAATTTTTTGAATTAAATCAAATAAGAATAAAAACAGACACTTGACAGATGTAAACTTCTAAAACTGAGATTAGCGCAAGGCCTTTCCTGACAGTCATCTTGTCTCAGGTAATACCTCGGTATCCTTATGGAAAGTCTGGGAAAGCTTCTGCAGCTCACTTTCAGATTGGGCTGCTCGCGCCTTTTCTTTCTCCCAACAGTGCAGCACATTTTGTAGTTCCACTTTTAAAGTGCTTACTTGAGCCTCTCTGTCTGCACATTTAGTGCGTAAATGACTTAACTCTTTATTGACATCAGCCAATTTATCCTGAAGGTACTGTTGGAGACACCAAATAAAGAGATTGTATCAAGATGATAACATTTAAATATAAAATGTTAATTACTTACTCCAAAAAGCTCTTTGAGAGTTTTCCTTTCAACTCATTATAAGAATATAACTTGGTAGCCCAAAAAATTTTTTAAACTTGTAAATAACATTTTAAAAATAAATCTCTTACATTTACTATAAGAACATTTACCTCCCAATGACATTCCAAATACCAATAGCAATCTCAAATATGTGACATAAAATTCTGCTGAACTATTTACTCCTTACCCTTAACAAATTCTACTCAAGTATGTCCATGACAAACGACATGAACCAACACCAAAAAATCCCAACTCTGAACGTTGGATTAGTAAAATTTTGCAAAGATGTAGTACATAAGACCAGCACAGAAAATAAAATAAATTGTTGCCCTAGACCTTAGCCAGGTGTGGTCACAGCCCACTACTAGGCATGATGTACTAAAAACAACGGCTCCACCCCAAAATGATGAAAACTGACCCCAAATACTGATGTGCTATGTAAAATATGCTGAATGTGTATCTAAGGCTGGATATCAAATCTTAAATCATTTTTTGAATCTATGGTATTATAATTAAATCTGGGAAATGAATTTTTCCTTTAACCAAAACAATTTCCAATCAAGTTTTATTTTTTTAATGAAAAAACATTCTTCTTACTTTGACCAACAACAAAAAAAGTTTTTAATTGTATCTAAACATACTTAATCAAAAATAGGAAGATATATTTTCAGATATCTCTACTTAAAAATATTCCCTAAAAAAAAAAATATTCCCTAAATAATTATATTTGTTTCTTAATAAAAAAGGAAAAAGTTATTCTAAATCACAATACCTTTATATTTTTAGCATGAGATTCTACCTTCTGTTTGGTAGACTCAAGTTCATTAGATGTCTTTTCCTTAGCATGATTCATGCTGCTTAGCTGATGAAAGAAAATGTAAGTAAACTTTTAAAATATTTTTCAACGGTGGGTAACTCAAAAGCTAATCTTTAAATGTTTTTTATGCAATTACTTAAATACAAATTTTTTATAGTAATTCAGAGACTTAAAAAATTATTTCTTTTGGTTAACTATGTAATTTCTGTCCCAAGTTCACATGGCTAAAAAGAAAAGAAAGCATTCAAGCTTAAAATGTCGGTAATGTTATTGTGTTTTTACTAGATATCTGGATAAAGGATTTCATTCTTACTGTAAACAAATACAACTTTATTCTTAAAATCCTACTGGACCAAAATGCCAGAAGCAATGGTATCTATACAGAAAGAAAAAAGGACAGACCAGAAGACTGTTCTTTCTACATCACGAGAATATTCACTGGTCTCTCAGTCCATATGACAACTTCAGGGTCGGTCACATGCTGTCCTACTGGGAAGGCTTGTGGCAGGTCATCAGTTGGTCCTGCTCCGCTTGTGATTTATTTTCTTTGACAGTTCATTCTTCTTTCTGTCAGACTGCTCTTTTTGCTTTCTTTGCAGCCACCCCTTGGTCTCCCCACTGCTGTCTCTGGCACTGGTTCACAACAAAGCGCATTACTAAGCCAAAGCCTGCTGAGTTGACTTTTCAACTGTGCTGAGGATCATGTGACATTCATCCTCCCAAATAACAATTCGCTGTGGGTAATATGTTCCTAGTTACCCTGCAGCTTCCAGACCTAGGCCTCAGAAGAGTTTCATAAACTACTAACAATACAGGCTGTCTTGTCTCACTGAGAGTTAGCAATGTTTGCTCTTTATAGAAATTTAATTACTTCAGTGGTCACTTTCTTTTATGCCTTTTGAACAATTACAATTACTGAGGGCATTAAGAAGACTCACTTTTCCTTCTTTATTCACCTTAGCAAACTAAAGTAAAATATGCCTCTTCTTATGGGCAATATAAGGGTTTCAAGGCCTTTGTATTACATAAAAGAAACAGATAAACAGAGGGATAAACACTAAATTCCATGCTATGTGGATTGTCTTTGGTTGGAACAATTGTTTGTTGCTTTGCTAACTAACTGTGTTTAATGTAGTTACTTCATATTCTCTAATTTAACAAGATGTAACTAAATAAACTCTTCAATTTTTAAAGCACAAATTCATAAAACATTTTAATACCCAAGAAAATTATCAACCCACAAGTTAAACAATACAAAAGAGAAGATAAATAAAAGCATGAGCTTTTTCAATCAGGAAACTAAAAACCTCCAAGCTACATCAAACAGATATTTGTTTTTAAAACCTTCTAATGCTTTACTCCCTTTAGAGAATGCACACTAATTTCTTTTTTATTGACTTCTAAAATTTGTAGAACTCCTAAGCCAAAATACTGGCAAACCCTGAATTTCCAGTACCTATTCTAAATTTCATAAAAACACATTAACATTTAAATATAACATATATTAACTAAGTGAGTTGCATAGCTCTTTTGTTAAATTAAAATAGATAAATTATGAAGACCAAGAAGTGACAGTCTTTATAACTTTGAAAATAGTAGTGTGACAGAAGAGAGAGTGAGACCCGACTTTAGGCCACACTTAAAGAAAGAACAGTGACAGACAACTTGTTATTTTTTGTATCTGTGAAGCTGTCAAATCAACATTCCCAATACTTTTGACCTTTGTAACAAGCAAGTAATACGTACTGCTGCAGGCCGAAGGCTATGTGTGTGGAGCCAAACAGTGCAAGTGTTACCTCATTAGATGCATCTTCCAGCTTGTTCTGGTAATCTGTCAAGGTACGCCTCAAACTCTCAAGGACAACAGAGAAGCTGGGAGGTTTATCTTTGTCCCTGTGGATGCCTAGAGAAAAATAGAGGATGAAAATATACCGTTAAAGTCGCAAAGAGACAAAAGCTAAGCAAACAGTAACAGAGATATTACAATTAGATATAACTGAAAAGACATCATGATATACCAAGTAGAATCTTATTCTCCTAAGTATACTGCTGTATAGCCTAGTATTAATAGCTTTTCTAAACAAGTGATCAAATTAAGTTCATAATATATCAAGTCCAAATTTATGGCTACTTTGTACCTTACTATGCCCACCTTGTAGTTAGTAGTAAAGCTCTTTTTTTTTTCCTATTTCCAAGGTAACTGAAGTATTTGTACACACCTGTTATCCAACAATTAAATAAACAGTCTATACTAAACACTGTTTGGAGGAGTTATATACATTTACTTTGGTCCTTGTGTTTCTCAGTCAGGCCTATTTTTCTTAAACAATTTCTGAACACAAGAGCACATAATTTTCTGTTATGCTTGGAAATAATGTTCTTCAATCCTTAAAATTCTCAAGTTACAATTTGAAATAAATAATAAAAATACTATTATCTACATAGGCCACATCATGTTTCAATTAAAACCCTTAAAACTGATACTCATTGTAAAAATATGAGTATTTCCATATTATGCCCTCAAACCATTTTAATTTAGGGAGGCCATAAGTTAGTTGAGCTAATCAAGATCACATGGTCAAATGTAGTTTATTTTTTAAATTTTTTTTAAAGATTTATTATTTATTTATTTTATTCATTTTTGGCTGCATTGGGTCTTAGTTGCAGCATGCAGGATATTTGTTAAGGAACGCGGGCTCTTCATGGTGGTGCATGGGCTTCTCTCTAGTTGTGGCGCACGGGCTCCAGGGCACGTGGGCTCTGTAGTTTGCAGCATTAGGGCTCTAGTTGAGGCGTGCGAGCTCAGTAGTTGTGCACACGGGCTTAGCTGCCCCTCAGCATGTGGGATCTTAGTTGCCTGACCAGGGATCAAACCCCGGTCCCCTGCACTGTAAAGTGGATTCTTTACCACTGGACCACCAGGGAAGTCCCTCAAATGTAGTTTAAAATAGTAATCCAAAATAATCAAAAGTTTAGTTTCAAAAACCACTTTGAACTGATTGCTTATTGTACTACTCATTAACTGTTAAAAATTAAATAGCAAATTTTAAAACATACTTACTAAAATTACTTTTATTTTCCTATATTTTCTCCCTATCATATTTTACAATCTAAATATTAATATCGATAAGAAGCATTCACAATACCTTTTTTATTATTCATTGATTCATCCATTCAACAAATTTAATGCATTTAATGCATTCCTACTATGTATTAATCCTAGGCATTAGGCACATGGAGGTAGATAAGAATGGTGTAGTCTCTATTCTCATAGAATTTACAGTCTAAAAAGAGGAGGTAAGATTGTAAACAAATAATTACATAAGATCATTCATCCATTCTTCAAGTACTCAGTTGCTGGAACTTTGGGGAGAGGAGGGACAAAGGCAGTAATACAGGAAAGAAAGAATGAATAAAGGGGAAAACAATGTTTGGTTAATAACAGAACAACTTTATTCATATCAGAGTATTAGTGATAATTATTATTTTAATTTTGGACAAAATGTTATTAATAAACTTATTACATTCACCAAAGTATAATTTAAACACTATCTTAAGTATGGATACACCTTAGATTTTCTTAAACAGAAGAATAATAATTAACTTAAAAACCAAAAGTAGGGCTTCCCTGGTGGCTCAGTGGTTGAGAGTCCGCCTGCCGACACAGGGGACGCAGGTTCGTGCCCCGGTCCAGGAAGATCCCACATGCCGCGGAGCGGCTAGGCCCATGAGCCATGGCCACTGAGCCTGCGTGTCCGGAGCCTGCGCTCCGCAACGGGAGAGGCCACAACAGTGAGAGGCCCGCGTACCGCAAAAAAAAAAAAAAAACAGAAACAAAAAACAAATCCAAAAGTAATATGGAAACAACATATATCCCAGTTGGGGTTGGGGGGGCGGGAAAGCCAGCGCTCTCAGCCGTGAAAATGAAGAAGACAACATTCTTTGTAATGACTGTGAGTTGGAGAGAGAACTCATTAAAATTTTTATTAAAGGTCTTACCAAATATATTTTTAAAATATTGCTCTCTTGCACAAGATAAAAAAAGTGTAATGTATAATTCTTTTCTTCTGCTACTACACAAGTAGGTCATGAATAAATCATTCGAGGACACCCAGGAAGTCTTAGCTTATACAATAAGGGAGAAAACTTGCTCTTAGAAATCCAGAAGAATAAAATCATCATAATATGGGTGTTGAGGAATAAGGAGACAAAATGCCCTCTCCTTACTGACTCATGCACATCTTATATTCTACATAAAAAAGTTTCTTTGCCTGAAAATGCTTTTACAAGAAAGTTCAGCTGAAGTACAAAGTATGCCTTATGTCCCACCCACATTCATTATAAAAAGAAATACTTACTGGTCCCTTAACATGAAGAAAATATTTACAAATAAAAAGAAAGGGTCGCTCAGGACCCAGGAGCTTACTGACTAAAATTTTATTTAACCTAATAATATCCTAATCACTGTACTATTGCCCACAAAACAATAAACTATTAAAGCTATCCTATCAGTGGATGGTCTAAAACCTCACAGTAAAGATTAAAAAAATAAAATAAAATAAAATTTTAACAGTAGTCATAAATAGCTTTTCAAAGGTTAAAGTCCAAATGAAGAACAGAATGTGTCAGGATGTGTCATTTATACTTCAATTACGCCAACTCAAAAATCTTCTGAGTTTCTCTGTCCCTGTCCCTATACACGTGTGTCTCTATACATGGGTGCCAGACTATATTTTCACATCACGCTGCCTGTCTCAGTCTCCTTCTCACTTTTAAGTATGTTTCGACAAGATATACCTTGGCAAATCTTTTCTGTGAATTAGTAGCCCATAGGAGGGAGTGAGGAAGAGGAACAGGTCCCAAACCTTCTATTTAAATGTTCCCTTTTGGGGGCTTCCCTGGTGGCGCAGTGGTTGAGAGTCCGCCGATGCAGGGGACACGGGTTTGTGCCCCGGTCCGGGAAGATCCCGCATGCCGCGGAGTGGCTGGGCCCATGAGCCATGGCCGCTGAGCCTGCGCTTCCGGAGCCTGTGCTCCGCAACGGGTGAGGCCACAGCAGTGAGAGGCCCGCGTACCGCAAAAAAATAAAAATAAAATAAATAAATAAACAAATGTTCCCTTTTGGACAATCTGAAAAACTAAATACTTTTAAATGACTCAAATAAACCACTGTTTTTCAAGATGGTGTTATCACCTCAGTAACCCCTCAGTTCCACAGGAGAAACAGTAGGTTGTAATGAATGAGGTGAGTCTATTTCCTCCACCTTGTCAACCATTCTCTTATCTACTTCAGTATCCTGCAAGACCTCAATTATTAAGAAATAATAGACAGAGACTATAAGACAAAAGACTGAGCTTTTTTTAAAAAAAAAGATCTCTGTTGTAGAACATGAGTAGTCACATTCATCCTCAGAACAAATAGGAAAAAAAGAAAAGAAAAACCCTGTTGTTTAATGCTGATTTTTAATCATGTAATAAAACACAGAAAATGACATTCAAATGGGTTTTTCACCTGAGAAAATCTAAATATTTAATACATTGATGACTAAGAAAATTCTTTTTTCATTCTAAAAGCACTGAATATAAACATTTTGTTGGCAGTTATACTTTTGAAATTCAGACTACATTCCATATATTAACTTGTCTTATTCACTGAGATCATAAACAAACATCTTCATTATCTTGCAAACACTGGTACCCATTCTAGAGTTTTTAAGGAAAATGACTCATAACTTCTCTAACATATGGACTGTATTTATCATGTAAATCCTGCTCACCCACCTACTCTGTCCCCAGGAAGAGCCAAAAAACCTTTCCTTTACCAAGGTTTGAGAAATGTATTGGTTGGGGGGAGCCTCAGAATCGTTGATGAGCTCTGTATGGCTTGGTAGTAAGCATCTAGGCCAGGTAGCTGGAAAGCCATGGATAACAGTGGGAAATGGTGCCACAAAGCTGGGTTCCCTGAATTCAGTGGGGATGCTGGAATCTCAAGTGACAGGCCAAGTGGTAGCACTTAATTTTCAGAGACAAAATGTACATGGTTACCATAATGGGCAGTGGATTCAAAGCAATAAACAAAATGGTTTTACCCACAGAGACCGCTGGCTTTGGCTAACTGATCATGGTGTTCCTAGGACTAAAATAGGCACTCTACTTGAATGTTACCCGATCTGTATAAGCAGAAAAGCTCTGGGTCTAATTACCAGAACTAGGAGTTAAATCAACACAAAAGACAGTCTTGGCCCTCAACCAATTCTCAGTCTTGAGCTAGTTCACAGACCCAGTGTCCCTAGAATAAAGAGGATGGATCCTCTTTAGGAATCCTAACATACTGCCAAAAGCTTATACTGTATGTAAATCTTTCTCCTAGCCTTCCTCAAAGAAACATGCAACCATTTACCTGGGTGACCACGTACTGAGGAAGGGGAGTTACTCACATATACCATGGATAACTGGACACTGGATCGGAACTGACACTAATTTCTGGAGACCTAATATGCTATTGTGGTTCACTAGTTAGGTAGGAGCTTACAGAGGTCAGTTTTGGCTAAAATCTATCTCCACTGGGCCCAGTAGGTACCTGAACCCACATAGTTATTCCCCCAGTTTGGAATGCATTGTTATAAAAGACAAATGCAGAAACTGGCACAATGCCCATAGCAGTTACCTGACCCATGGAGTGAGGGATTTACAGAGGAAAACAAAACAGAAAAAAAGCAATTGGAAGTCACCAAAACTTTTACCTACCAAAATAGTAAATCAAAAACAATGCCACATTCCTGGAGAGACTGAAGAGATTAGCCCCTCTGTTAAAGAGTATAAAGGGGTGGAGATCCCAACCACATCAGCATTTAACTCATCTGTCCGGCTAGTGCAGCATACAGATGGGTCTTAAGGAATGAT